AGGGTTGGGTATCGTTTGAATTTGAACGATTCTGATTCCGATTCCGATTCCTTGTTTCGACTCCGGTTCCTAACGATTCTCGATTCAGATTCTTTTTAGAGGCAGGGTCAAAAAAGTTTAGCTAACCTTGCTAACCAACGGCCTTTCTGAAGGAAATAATCCTTTCTGAAGGAAATACTCCTTCTGTAAAAACTCCTTTTGTCACAAATTTTGCATTTTGCCGAGATTTCGTTATTTTTAGAAAAGTGAAGCCACACTTTGGATCGCCGACGTAAGGTACTCATGTTCGACTCGCGTGGTTATGCCAACACTTCCGGTAGACGCTTCTTCATTGGTGTTCAGCGGTTTCTTCTTCCGCTCGCCGGACTGTGAATATCGAAACTAGGAATCGAAATTTTAACTTTTGAACGATTCCGGGAAAAACGAAAAGTTAGTCTCGGTTCCAATCGATACTCGATTCTCGATACCCAACCCTAGTTAAGACCTAATGTCCATGTGACCAACAAGCCAAGACCTGTATGTGTTTTGACGCATTTCAATTCCAGACTTCATCTTAAAAACTGCAGGACTCTCACCTGCAGCACAAGAGGCTCTTCTGGTGTGGTTCTGTTGCAGTGGATTATGGCTGCCAGAGTGCCGGTGAAGTTGTAGCTGCTGTGAAGAGCCTCTTTGGCCTCACCATCAGAAGCTGCTGGGCCATTAAGAAAAGTACAAGCATGGGTAAACAGTTGGGGATGTGTATGTGAATAAAGTATGTACTGCCTGTATAACTATGTTAAAGAGTTTAGTACCAAACTGTGCCAGCAGAGATATAATGGTCCCCGTCAGAGTGTGATTGGTGTTGGGGTCTCCAGCTACTTCCATTAGTCCACTCAGACACTCGCTGGGCAGCAGCTGACCTGAGAACAGCACTCCACCACATTTTAGCCCACAAACATCCTATAAAATTAAAAAAAAAAGGGGGGAAGAGGAATAAATAATAGAAAAGTGATTAAAATAAATCAAATGAATATAATGTTGATTTAAGTAAATAAATATATTAATAATGCATCCAAGAGTACAGTATTATAGCAACTAAAAAATGATAAATACAAAATAAGAACAATAGACACTAAAATATAGTTTAACATTATTTATTTATATATATATATATATATACATATATATGAACATATAATATTATTTATATAACATGAAAATATATAAGGATGGGGATAAATATAAGTTATAAGGATAAAATATGAGGTTCTCATGATAATATTTCTGAGCCAGTGGCATCTAAAAGATTAAAAATATTTTTTAGAGCATAACTAGAAGAAAATAATACTGACTATAACAATTTATGCCCTTCCAAAGCATTAAAGACAAAGTACAACAGCCTCTTTCACCATTCACTTTCATTGCATGGACAAGATGAATGAAAAAGAATGTTTATTGAGACTGTAATTCCCAAACATCTCCTTTTGTACTTAGTATCAAAAAGTCATATGACTTTGGAAGAACGTGTGGGTGACAAAAAGATGACAGAATTATTAGATGGATCATCACACAAATAAAACTGATTGTTTTGAATTAATTATTAATTAATAATAATTAAAATTATTTAATGTGTATATAAATGATATTTTTACTATATCCAAAGTACTGAAACTCATACTATTTGCAGACGACACGAATATATTCTATAGTAGTGATGATTATAAGGAGCTCGTAAATGTGGTAAACAGGGAATTAAATATAATAATAAAAAATGGATGGTTACAAATAAATTATCTTTGAACATAAACAAAACTAAAATAATGATGTTTGGTAATCGTAGCAAACTGATTGAACAGAGAATAAGTATTGGTGATACCCAAATTGAAATTGTGAGTGAGAATAAATTTTTGGGGGTAATAATCGACAGTAAATTATCTTGGAAGCCCCATGTCAGACACATTAAAAGAAAAATCTCCAAAAGCCTCTCAATTATAAACAAAGCAAAACTATACCTTGATAAAAATGCACTCCGTACCCTATACTGCACTTTGGTACTACCATACCTTATGTATTGTGTTGAAGTGTGGGGAAATAATTATCAGAACACAATAAATCCTCTGATTATATTACAGAAAAGAGCCGTGAGGGTCATTCATAAGGTTGGTTAATTAGAACATACCCATAAGCTGTTTAAGCAGTCAAATTTGTTAAAACTCGATGATCTCGTAAAATATAATACAACAATAGTCCTGTATAAAGCATTTAACAACTTATTTATTACCGCCTAACTTACAACGTTTTTTTTTTCAAATTCCTGTGCGAGCTCATAACTTGAGAGGCTTTGGGTATTTTTCGTTACCAAGAGCCCGAACTACTCGTAAACATTATTGTGTGTCTGTATGCGGAGTGAAACTCTGGAACAAACTGGACTTACAACAAAAGCAATGTCAAACTATCCATCAATTTAAATTGTCATATAAACATAGGGTCTGGTTAAAATACAGAGATGAGGATTTTTAATTTATATTGATGTTGTACTCTGTCTTATAATGTTAACATGTGCTCAATGTTTCCTTACCATCGTTGGTATATTGTCCATTACCATCGTTGGTATATTGTTCATTACCATAGTTGGTATTGTTTATTCTTCTTAAATTGTTTGGCAATGTTGTTATAATAAATTCTTGTGGCTGTGGTAACGCCACCATGATACAACCTATGTAAACAATCCGTGACCAAAGTAAACACGAAGCTTAATGTATTAATCACCAAGTGGTGAACTGGGGTGGGATTAAATAAGTTTTCTTCTTCCCACTCCCCTTCAGGCAGAATTCGATTTGTTTTGTTTGTTGTGGTTTTTTTTGTTTGTTTTTTTTTTTCTTTTTGCACTGTATGACTTAACAAACATTTTGTCTGCCTTGTACTTTTGTGCCATTGCCTGAAATAAATAATAAAAATAAATAAATAAATAAATAAAAATAATTACCGCATTGAAAAAAATGTTTTCACTCACTTCAATGTTTTTCTGCAGCTGTGATGCATTTAAAGCGCTTTTGTTATTCCTGTACTGACGGATGGCCAACAGAAGAGACTTCAAACAGGTTGATACATCCATGTTTACCCACAAGAACGGTCAATGGAGGCCTTGAACAAAAAACAACAAATAACTATCTAAATCGTTTCTATGTAACGTTAAGTTACGTTCGATTTTGTAAACATACAGTGTGGTATGCTAACTTAGTTGACAAATAGACGATGTTACTGAGCTTATATAACGAATATATCTTAAACTGTCCCATACAACATTTCATCGAGGATTTAGGTTTCTTATATTCTAAAATGACATTTTATAGTATTTTATTTTAGGTAGTATTTACTTTAAAGTTAATAATGAGTTCCCCACAGAACAGTCCGATGCTACAACAGCAACTTCCTCCCGCTAACACTTCGAATCCCTGGACGAGTCCATTATCTGAAAGCGGTAGGGGGGTTTTGCTGGCGAAATTTACAAATGTCTGACTATTTATTTAGATTTAAGATATAGGGTAAAACATTTCACCAAGATATACATAATAAATTAAAGAACTATATGTTCGGATATATGTATATATATATATATATATGTATATGTTTAAATGTTCGGAGAAAAGCTTATACCCCCCCCAATCAAGAAAGAATGGTACAGAATTCGACGTCGCACTGACGTAACTACGTTGATTTACCCGTGTACGTCAGAAGCATTGCTTATTGTTCTCTTAATTTTAGGACATTTTTAGATATAGAATCTACTGATATAGGTTGGACATTGAAATTATAACACCTGGTTTTAGACCACAATCATTTATTAGTATGATATAGGGCCTCCTTTTGCCACCAATTCACCATAAATTCATCTTGGGAATGACAGATACAGTCACCAGAGGGATTTTGAGCCATTCCTCTTCCAGAACAGTGGCCAGGTCACTGTGATGCTGAAGATAGACAGTGTTTTTTACTTGCTCCTCCAAAATACCCCATTTTGGCTCAAACAATAGTCATGGCCCATAATTTCCACTGTTAGCAACAATGAAACTAACATTTGTCATTGGCATTAGTGACCAAAGATTTGGCTATCTATAGCAATAGGATCTCCTATAGGAAGTCCAGCTGCATATTTAATATGAGTTGGGCAGCTGTGGTTTTATGCATTTTGGATACATTCCAGGTTAGTACCCAGACATCCTTTTCAGAAAGCTTTTTGCTTCGACAGTTACTCCATTTGGATGTTGGTCATGTCGTGGTGTGCATTATTCTGCCTGCATACCATAGCTCTTGATACACTGTCCTGGTCACAGAAGAGCCAGCGAGACACTCACCAACAGTTTGTCCTTTGAAATGTCTCAGATTATGTTATCTGGATTGCAACATTTTAGGCCTACAGCTACAGAGTTACTTTCTGATGGAATGTAAAATTATTGAAGATTGGTCACAGGGCCACGAATAGTTTGAAACCTCAACGTTATTTATTGGCCAGTTTTTCTGTTTCTGGGAATGGTATATTTGAAATAATCTGTATTTTCAGTTCCTTAAACAAACTTGAATTCACTGTACTATACAAAGGTTATTCATGCACTACAGGAGGCTGCAGTTTCTACAAACTGTAAGTAGTTAAAAAATAAATTTGTGTTTGCTTTTTGTCGGTTAAACCATTAACATAAATCCTCTATAATTATGGCCTATCTGATAAATCTAATTAATAACCTTTAGTAATCTGTGACCAGTTGCATAAACTACATTCACTAGTCAAACTGTAAGTTAGTCATCAATTTATTTCTTTAATTTTGATCATAAATTTAAGTCAGTTACAAATACATAAAAATGTAATTAGTTAAATAGAATCTGAAAAGCAAGAGTCTAATTGGTCAGACTAGTTTTTAAGACAGTCTTTTGCAACTTGCCTCTGCTCTTTTTAAAGAAAATAAAATCTTAGTTTATTTAGCCTAAAAAGAAATGAAGCACTTGGAGAAAAATGGCAAACAAAATGATTTTTAAATACTGATTTATTAAAAAACACCAACCAAACTTAAATTTAGGCAGTGACATCAGTTCTATCTTTGAACCAATGGAACAGTGCATAGGAAACTGTACTTATGTGGGCCCATTTAAGTGGTTAAATGGAATATATTTACATGTGAAAAACCACAGCACGTTCATTAAGAACAAAATATTTACACTACATACCTTATAGACTCTGTTTTACACAAATATAGAATTGCCACAATGTTGTGAAATACAATTTAGCACTATTAAACAATATTTAGCACTATTTCTAGGTTTTTAAGCACTTACCGTGTGAAATCCTCTGTATATTAAATATATATCCGGGAAAACCAAACCAAACTTTTAACTCAAATTATTATGATGAGAATCAAATTTATAATGACAACAAAATCCACAACATTGCAGCATTGAAATACACATCCACGATTTATGCATTTACCAAGCACAAAATCATACAAATGATAAAATGTGATTCATGTAATGCGATCACATGAAACGTCCATATCCGAGGTAAAAAAGCCCAGAAAGTTCTTGGAAACATTACGAGGATTGCGTAATGCGCATCTATATCCTTCAAGTTGGCTGATCCCAGTGTCCAGGCCGAACATCACATAAATCATCTGGTAGAACAACGACATAGTCCGCTGAGCAATCAACATCTGAGAGAGAGAGAAAAGGTTCACAGTTAGTTAGGGTAATGGAACAGTGTTAATTCTAATTCAAAGATGATTCCTGCTCAAATATGTTACTGTAATTGTCTAATGATGTTTTGCCATTGTAACGACCAGTGTTGAAGACACTTGTAAAAGTAATCTAATAAAAGTAACTTGCGTTACTCTTCTGAAAAAGTTATTTTTCTGTAAATTAAACAGTAATGCATTACTTTACTAGTTACTTGAATACTTGATTACATAACTCATGTTACTTGTAATGCGTTACCGTCAACACTTGTAATGTCTCATGATTGTTAATCTCTTATATTAAACAGTTGACACTCACTTTCATATTCGTTTTCCTCATTATGCACTGGTGGTTCTGGACTTTGACTGTGAAAAGACTGTTCTGGCAGTGTTTTTCTTTTCAGCGAACGGTTTAAGTGTGTTGCAAGTCCTTGATTCCTTTTCTTGTAATGACGAATAAGATCCTTCATTGTCTTGAAGAACTTCTCCTCTACACCTGAGCTAGCCTGAAACAGACAGTGAGGTGACATTTTAATGACTTGTAAATTCATTTATTTACATATGTTTTCATTTTATTAAATGCAAAATCTGTTGTGCAATCAGTTTAGATATTTAGTGTTATGCCGAAGTTATCCACCACAGAGATTATTTTAGTGTGTCCTACCTGTAGAGTGTAGGATCCAGAGTGGCTTTGAAGGATCCTATAAGTATAGACCACTTTTTGTTTACTGTAAAAATGAATACATAAAGTAAGTAATTAAAGACACCATGACATAATTTTTTTTTCAGAAAGCACAGTTAACTTGTGTCACACACAGTACCCATTATAAATCAGTTTTATTAGCTCAATTTACTGACTTTAGCTGTTTGCAATGAACAAATCAAACAAAAGTATTCAAAATAGCTCAACATAACAAATAGTGGTTGAATAATTTCTATTACAACTGTTGATTAACCCAAACCTTGCTCACTCGCAGGTTCCAAAACCATGGTTATGCGTATGTTCAGTCAACACGGAGTATAAAACACTAACAGAGCATGGAAACGGATGATAAGAAGAATCGATCCATTCCACTTCTTTTGTTTAATGGTGCTTTACATTCTTGGTGCATTTCACCATGCACCTACCGGGCAGTTGTGCAAACATTTTTATTTTATCCCTAATGATTAAAGGAATAGTTCACCCAAAATAACGTTTATTTTGTTGAAAGTTTGTCCACATCTGTATGAGTTTCTTTCTTCTGTTGAACAAAAAATATTATATTTTCAAGAATAATACACTCTAAAAAATGCTGGGTTGTTTTAACCCAATTTTGGGTCAAATATGGACAAACCCAAAATGCTGGGTTAAAAATGTAATGTAAAAATTTAACCCAACGGCTGGGTTAGTCCATATTTGACCCAAAGTTGGGTTAAAACAACCCAGCATTTTTTAGAGTGTAGTAATGTTGATGGCACCCATTGACTTCCAGAGTAGGAAAAACATATGGGAGTCAATGGGTGCCATCAACTTTTTGGTTACCAATTACATTCTTGAAAATATTTTCTTTTGAGACATATAGACGAAAGAAACTCATTTGAGGGACAAATTGAGGGTGAGTATTGTAAGTGATGACAAATTTGACATTTTGGGGTGAACTATCCCTTTAATCCATTTTTTTAATCGCTAACTAGAATTATATTGTTTGTTTGATGTTAATTTAACAAAATTAGTAGTAGCTGATAAAAATCTTATGAAGCTTCATTTTTTTGTTTTCAATTTCAGTAGGCCTACTAGTAGCCATGCACTTTAAGATTACCATTTAAAGTGTTAAGTTTAGCAGTGTAGTCTATATATTTTCCAGTGCAAAGTCTCTATACTGTGAATAACTAGAACTATCACTTCTCTTTTACCGCAGATATCTAAAGAGCTGCTCACGTCCGCTTTTGAAAATATGCATTTGTTGAACGCTACACAGTGAACTGCAACAAAAGCATATGAATGTAATTTATTATCAATTTGACTATGTATAAAATAGCTGTGTTTTGTTGGGAAGTAGAGCAAAATTTTGAGGAATAAATATCTAATTATATTGTGTTTGTGTCTTTCAGTTAGACAACTTCCCACAATGATTTAGTCATTATTTTTTACTTAATTTATGAAACTAGCCCTTAAAATGTTTTTAAAAATCTGGGTATAATTTTTATGAAGGAGGTTAAAAACTGAGAATATTCTAAACAGTGTTGTAACTTGTTTTTTTGTTTTTTATTTAACCAAAGTGTTGATAGCAAGATAATTGGTTTGATTCTCAGCTAAATAAACTGGCCCGAACTGATAAAAATGTGACTTCAATGCAGTGCACTTTTGATTAGATAAAAGTGTCTGCCAAATGTATAAATACCTTTAGAGGAAATGGGGTGGGGGGTCTATTTTGGGTCTGTGCAGTGGCGTTTAACGATGAAATATGAAAAATATTAAATTGACCCAAAACATGGTAATAATCGTAATTTTAATTTTGAGTGCACTTTCCATAAAACATCAGTGTCAAAATTTTGCAGCCATTCTCATTACCCTAAATGACAAAAAGCCACAAGATTATAGGATTTCCTAAAATTTTAATGTGTCAACTGTACAAATTTAAAAATAATACTGTGGTGAAAATGCACTAGGAATTACAATTTGATTCACTGCTTAATTATTCATACATATTCTGGTTATAAGAGATATAAATTTAAACATATTTATCACAAATATATTCCAATTTACAAAATACATTACAATTTATTTACCCTTAGTTTTTAAAGTAACAACATTTGCACTTTTAATTAGAGATAATCATTATTCTTAACACAACTTAACCATGTTTTGATTTTCAATTTAATTCACATTTATTTGTATAGCGCTTTTCACAATTCAACTCATTTCAATGCAGCTTTTCAAAAAATGCATTTAGAATCTGTTTTCAGAGGTAACTGTCTAAGTTATATTTCAGAAATGTACATACAAATTCACATTTAGCATTAAGAATTAACATTTAGAATTAATTTAAACAATGTAATAACTTAATGCAGAAACTAGGAGCTCAGTCATTTTCTCTTTATTTAAAAAAAATAAATAGTATTTTATTTTATATATCATCACTCACTTCTGCTAAAACCGTCAGCGAACCGTCAGTTTCACTATAACGTTATCTTAGGCCTATAAACTGTTTTTCAACTCAGATGTTATAACTTTCAAAGGGGTAATATCAAAGTCAGCCTTCATTCTAAAAGACTGCTATCCATATTTGACCTTCTATGAAAAAAACTTTAGTAAGTGAATTTGTTTTTTTTGTTTTTTGTTTTTTTTAATAATTTTACCTAATCATGCTTAGGCTATATTTTCTATTATATCAACTCTGTTCCAAAATTGGCGAAGAATATGTCTGGGATTTAGATTTTTCTGGGATTTATATTTTGTCCATAATAGGTCTTAGTAGCCAACAACACACGTAACGTTAGCTACTGCTTTTGTGTGACATGCAAAATATAGCCTAGTTATTTTTGCCAACACTAACTATACTGATGTGTCAAATTTGATGGTGGTGACAACTCAGAAATTTCTGGAAAAAAAAAAAAAATCTGAAAAAAATCTGAAAATCACCTTGAACCATCCTGAAAAATGTCAATTTATTAATTCAAATAAATGCTAGATATTATTTTTGTGCCTGATGATGGTAAATCATGAGATAATCCCCAAAAGAACAGGCCTACATATTCAAAACTTTTCCTTGATAAAGTATTCAATTGTCAGTCAGTTCCTAAAAAAATAGCGAATAATAAAACAGTACTTACTATACACACAGGCAGAGAGCTCCCTGAATGGTCTCACTGTCACGAATGAGGTATGTTCCGTCCTTCGCTTTCTTCCCGAGCAGCTCCTCGCATCTTTGTTTGCTTATTGGCCCATGATACGCTGGATGGTCCATGTTTCACATCGCACATGAGGAGCGTGCTGCCAATTCAAGTCACTGCTCCTGTTTGCTCAAAATATGTCTTCTTCCGCAAGTCCACAGGCAGCTTAGTGGACCGAATCGAAAGGAAACTTCCTTGATGCCCACACTCAGAAACTATGAGACACTTCAAGGCATTGTGCGAGCATTTTTCCGTCTGAGTCTGAGGTAATTAATGCAGATGCGAACCAACTAAAGTCACACCGGAAGTCGGTTTGCGTGTATGAGTTTAAGTAGTAGTGGTCAAAGCCAAGGAAGTGTCACACTGTGACATGTCAAAAGTAGCAAGTAAGATCACGACTGAAGCATACATTCTTTTAATTTAACTTACATGAAATTATCTTTATCTTATTCTTATAGAGATAGGCTGGCAACGAGTATATAACTTAGAGTATTTATTTCATTTCATTTATTTTCTATTCTCTCTTTTCATGGTAATGCAACACTAAATACCACAAGAACAATTTAACAAATCAAACCAACACAAAGTACATTCCATGACAAAAAAAGAACAGGAGTAGGATGAAGAAAAAAAAATCTTATAAGCTCCTACCCCATTCCTATAAACAAGATTCACAAATTAGATGACCTCACCAACATAAAATGACAAACAACAGAAAACTTAAAGAAAAAAAAAAAAAATATATATATATATATATATATATATACACATGCATATACACATACATATACGACAAGCCTAAACCAGATATAATCTACCTTCAATTATAACACATTTTTCTCTCTTTGTCTATTATTATTATAATTAATATTATTATTATTATTATCTATTAATTCTAATTCTGCTTATATGATACTAGATAAACAAAACCGACAAGGAAAAAATAATGACAGATCCAACAGCCAAAATAGCAACGAAAGCATCACTATTGTAATAATTCTATTAGTTTTCACATTCTTCTTTATAGACTTTAAGTATCTTTTGTTTATAATTATTTTTAAATTGTAAGATAATAAGAAGATAATTTAAACATATAGAATATACAGTGTAGGTTATAGATAGAGTTTATGAATTTGGATGCATGTTTAAAATGTTCACTTCAGAAATTTGATTTAGGGGAGTTTTCACACATTTCAAATGAACCCCCCATGTGTGTCAATATGATGTTGGGTTCTGACGTCAAACCGAGACCTGAACAACTATTGGAATCCTGTCAATAATTGGCTTTATGCCCAGCTGCACTTCTTCCTGAACTTCAGCCAGCTTCTTGTTTCCTGTCTGCCATTATTGGCCAAATTGATTAATTCAGGTGTGTCTGATTATTGTTGCCATGACAACTGGTCAGGCACACCTGGATTAATCAATTTGACCAATAATTGCAGACAGGAAACAAGGAGCTGGCTGAAGTTCAGGAAGTAGTTGGGCATAAAGCCCATTGGATGAACTATCCTTTTAAGTTCTCCCTTTGAAGTGCTGAAGGCTTGAGAAGGTCCTCACTGCAGAACATGAAATCCAGGGGGAGGAGTTAGATCCAGATCCAACTCCTCCCACCTTACATTTACCTAAACCTACCTATCTCCGCCCCCTGATCTCTAACCCCACCCCTAATCCTACCTATCTCCACCCCCTGATCACTAACTCCATCCCTAATCCTACCAATCTCCACCCCTTAGATCTGGATCCGCCCACTGGATCTCGTGTACTGCAATGAGGTGCTACTGGAAGGCTTTGGCTAATTATGTGTATCTCTTAAAGGGTTAGTTCACCCAAAAATGAAAATTATGTCATTAATGACTCACCCTCATGTCGTTCCAAGCCCGCAAGACCTCCGTTCATCTTCGGAACACAGTTTAAGATATTTTAGATTTAGTCGGAGAGCTTTCTGTTCCTCCATTGGAAATGTATGTACCTTATACTGTCCTTGTCCATAAAGGCAATACAGACATCATCAAAGTAGTCCATGTGACATGTCACATGAGTGGGTTAGTTCGAATTTTTTGAAGCATCGAAAATACTTTTTGGTCCAAACATAGCAAAAACAACGTCTTTATTCAGCATTGTATTCTCTTCCGGTTCTGTTGTCATTGCTCGTTCACGATTCCAATGACGCAGCTGACGTGTAATCTTGTGCTCTGGCAACTCTGGCAATTTCCTGGGATCAACTGTGTGAAAGGGGCTACTGAGAGCTAGTCATGTAGTGTGAACCGCACAGTTCAGCCCGACGTTTTAAAATCATGTAGTGTGAACAAGGCTTAAACAACTTGAACAATCCTGATTTCACTGAGAGCAAGTCATGTAACGTTAGTGTGAACCGCACAGTTCAGCCCGACGTTTTAAAAACATGTAGCGTGAACAAGGCTAGTCTCCAATTTCAGCTCTTTACTGCAACAAATGCTGAAATGGATCACACTCATTGGTGGGGTCAGTAAGTCAAAAGTGTCTTTGCTCTTCAAACATTACAAGCTATATCCACTTGCAGTACTGGAGGTGAAGTGTCCCATCTGTTACCTGTCTAATGGGGATAGAGAGGGCGGGGGTAATCAGCCCTGACCGAGACGTTTTAACGCAAGCAGGGAGGAGGATAAGGATTGTAATTTCAGTTTAAGAAGATTAACTTAGTAGAAGAGCTCGCTCTCCATCTGCAGTTTGCCTCACATATTGATGTTAGTATAATGAGTAAATCATTGTTATCATGATTTAAATCGTGTGTTGATGCTGATTTTCTGTAATGATTTCACGAGGAGTTCCGTTTGCTGGATTAGCTTGGCCTGGATTGGTGTTGAATTGTCATTGTGCATGCTAACGCTGAAACACTTTACTAGAGGAAATGAAGACACGACCCAAAGGCAGCACCTCTAACGCCGACTGGATGGGCTCCCTGTGCCCTGCCCTCACATCAATGCCCCTCAAGCACCTGGCGGTTCCTGGTGAGAGAACTTCTCTGACATTTGACATTTCATTTAAATTAAATACTAAAGTGAATTCCATTTAATTCAGTGGCGAATTCAAAAGTTGGCCATTTTCCAAATAGATGTAGATATAATAGTTTAAGAAACAACAATAATTATAGCCTAACGCAGTGTACTTTATTTAGTTAAAAGAGTGACTAAATGCAATTGTATGGGTTTTCCTTGTTCCTATCAAAAGATACCAGTTTTGTCTTGTCCAAAACCAGTTGACAGCAAGTCTTAATTGGTCTTCGAAACTCTATTCACAGTCTTCTATCAGCCTGAGAGTTTGACTGAGAAAGCCAGGGAAGAGTAGAAGCAAGGGACAAAGTGATGATGATCGCGTCATTCTCCCACGGCCCTCGGCCTCGCCCTGCTCGCCACATAGGGTGAATTAAGGATGATTGGGACATAAGGTCGAATGGGAGAGTATAACTATAGAGTGTTTATTTTCTCACTGGGTGAAAATAAAACTTTTTTTGCTGAGCCTAGCTGTGAGACAACAGTCGAAATCGGATGCCCTCATTGGTGTGACATCCTGACATCCTGTCGGGGCAGGCTTCTCAGCATCGTCCTGTGACGTTAAACACTTATCTCATGTGAACTCCATTTCCCTTCTTGAACCACAAAATCATAAGATGAAAGGAAAATTACATTGTAAGCACAAGGAAGTCAAATATTAAGTAATATAGAATATATAACATGGATAATGAATAATATAAAATGATGAATAAATAATTCAATATTAATATAAATCATATAATAATATGAATAAATTATTATTAAATCATTATTATTAAAGCAAGACACACACAGGTTGCTATTGAGAATCCTTAGATCCTTCACATTAATTGTTCATTTTATTGTTTCATGTTTTATTTATTTCTATTCCCTTTCTTTTTATATGCATTATATTTTAATTATATTAATAACATATTCAATAATAAAATATATTACACATTTTTGTTAAGACCTAAAATGCCCTCTATTAAAATATTAACAAATTCTGTAAATTAAAAATCCCTTCAAGATTGTGAATGTCTCCCTTTTTTTGTGTTTCCTTAGAGGACAGTCTTAATGGTCAATCCTGTTTCTGTGTTTTATTTTAGTCAATTGATTATTGAAAGCTGTATTTTTCTAAATAAATCGTTTTAATAATAACTTATTGTCAGGTTCGTGGTAGTAGAAAACACAAGGAATATCAGGAAACAAGGATTTATTCCACAAAAATTCAGGAGTCACAGAAACCACTCTAAACATTAACGAGAACCGACAAACGCTCACTGGACAGAAGGAAACTAAATACAGATATCAATGAACACTGACGAGGTGACGCAGATGATCATGACGAGAAACATGTGGCTAATGAGGAAGGAAGTGCGTTAGAGTGAGGAGACAAGCGGGATCCTGCGAAGTGTAGTGATGACAAAGACAAACTGGTGCAGACTAACATTGTGACACTTATAGTGTCATGACATAATGGCTAAATTAAATGCAGAACTGTCAAGCCTGTTACTGTTTTTACATGCATATTGAAATGTTTGAATTTGTATTGATTCTGCCTTTATGTTCATGTTTTAGGGTCTCATGACTCCTTCAGCTTCTGGGTGGATGAACACGCTCCAGTCGGCCCAGACCAGAAAGCATATGTGAAGCACCTAGCTGCGATTTTCCGCTTTCTTGCCAAGAAGGTGATGAAGAAATGGTCCATGACTCAGAACCTGACCTTCAGGGAACAGCTTGAGGGAGGAATACGCTATTTCGACCTGCGTGTGTCCACCAAACCAGGAGAACCAGGCCACGAGATATACTTTATACATGGGCTTTTTGGACACAAAGTACGCGATGGCCTTAATGACATTAACCATTTTCTGAACGTGCACAAGAAAGAGGTTGTTTTTTTAGACTTTAATCATCATTATGCAATGAGCGAGGAGCATCATCAATACCTAATCAAGATGCTGAAGGACGTGTTTGGTCACAAGCTCTGCAAGATTGACGTGGTGGAGGAGATCACTCTAAACTATCTGTGGAAGAACAGGTACCAGGTGAGCTCAGGACGCCCCGCTGTGCACATTAGACACATCTGATGTTAAAAAATGAAGGCTTTACGTAAAGTAAAAATCTCAAAGTGTGATTTGACATGAAGAAAAAGCAGAAAAATCTTTTAATCTGATGGGGTAGTTGTAGCCTGATGTTTAAAGAGTCAGACATGAAGGTTGTGGGTTCAATCTTCAGAAGGAAAATGTCATTGGGACAGTGAATGAATTGTGATCTCTTCCACCCTGAA